CTAATTAAATACTTATGATTTAGTTTGTAATTAAATACTTACAAATCAAAAAGTTTTTGAAAAATTCAATATTACAATTCACAAGTTGTCAAAATTAATGAAATTTTATTTTATTATTTAATTAATTTTAAAATTCATTTGTGGTTAAATACTTACCATTTATTGTGTAATTAAATGCTTACAAATCAAAAACTTATTAAAAAAATACAATATAAGTTTTCTAACTTAATGATATATTATTTATTACATAATTAAATTTTAAATTCTATTTAACATTAACACCCTTGGGTTCCACGAGTTTTCACCTAGTATTATATAATCAAATCTAAAATCATGCTATTTGAAACTTGACCTCGTAATGGGACGGGTTTGGAACGAATCGGCCTTGATCCAAACTTGTTTAACACATTTCAAATTTCAATCCAAATTCACTCCGTAACCAGCAAGGTTTTGAATAATCAAACACATACATTTATCCGCCGAATCAACAGATATCCAAACCCGCCCCGTACCCCGTAAGTTTTTTGAATAATTAAACACATTTGACTTAAATCTCAAAATAACATTTATTAAATAAAACAAATGTTGATTTAAATAACATATTAGGTACTCGAGGACTTTCGATTGGAATTAAAATCATTTTCATAGTAACTTCAGATTGTTTTTGATCGTCGATTGCATTGATAGAGAATAACAATTGCAAACTTTCTTCTGATTGATAAATGATTGTTTGGTTGATGAAATATAAATAAAATGACATCATGTTTCTTGGTAGAATACTGAAAGTCTAGAAGTCGAGTCTTCGATTCCTATGTAAAAACAATTTAGTCTTTGGTCTTTTCTCTTTGGATTTCGATTAGAATTAAAAGTAAACTTTTGGTTGTATAAAATATAAATTTATAATTATAAAATTTATACGGGGTGGGTTATAAACGGAGCGGATGCGTGATGATCCATACCCGACCTTTTTAATAAAAATGTTAGCGGGTACGGGTCGTTAATGGGTAAACGGATCAAAAACTATGCTCCAAACCCAAATAATTATTAAGGGTTTTGATCGCATCAAGGTCAAAAGTCAAAACTCGTTCCATTGTCAGGGCTATTTGAAACCTCTTCTATTCCAAATAATTATATTTGAAAGGTTATTATTACCTTACTTTAAGTCGTAGAAAACGGAGCTTTGAAACATGTTTAGAATCAAAATATGACCTTTTTTAGGTATATTTTAACCTTTTTATTTTTACAAATATGTAATTTTTATAAATTTAAACTTTAGTATTACAGGATTGTATATATTTTTGCTTATTGATGATGTGACATAGAATTTGGTCATCAGGTCTTGGAGATAGATCTACATTGCGGATTTGGATGTGAGTGTTGATGGCTGATTTATGTCTTTAATCCTAGTCACAACCACATAAAGAAGATTATTAGGACCTCCCAAGGACTTGTATCCCAAGAGTGGCCTCCTACGATCAAGCTAAATCGATAATGATATGAGATGGTTACTTTATGTTGGTATGGACAATTTTTGTGTAAAGAGATGTGTATGTATGAGAGGGAGACAAAGAGGACGAAGTGTTTTATATTCATCTTTTGTGATGAGGACAAAAGAGGTAGCCACCACTTTGGCTAACTTTATCTAGCTTAGCCATTGTTATCCTATTATTTTGTTCAATTAGTCTTGTCCATTCTTGGTCAGTGTTACCTGCTTGGCCAGTTTGTACATTTCGGCCATGCATGTTTTTTTAACGACATGATTTTGTTAACAAGGCTTTCTAGATGCTAGCAAGGGAAAAAATAGAGATTAAGGCGCCATTGGCTTTTTCAACCAAAGACATGTTTTGCTCGGACATGACTGACACCGGGGTCAATTCAGTTTTGATTAGGTATTGCTAATGGACCCAACACCAAGTTCTTCTAATACGATGTGGTTGGCTTTCATTCAAGCAAAATGATTGGATATTGTTGTATGGTATATATAGACCATCAAGTCCCTAACCCGATATGGTTGGCATTCGGTGTAATGGATCTTGTTGTATGGGTCATAGATCATCAATTACTAAAAACACAATCACTATTCAAATGCGTTTCAAATTTCCAACAAAATTATAATATAATAAAACAACAATATTTTTTTTTGAGAAAATACTAGCACTTTTAGTTTGAGTCATTTAGAGATTTTTTTTTATGGTTGAAGTCCCCTATAAAGCATGTGTGTATTTGAAGCAAAGAAAAATCTACAGAAAATCCCAAACTTTTGGGAAAATTTTTAAAAAAGTCATAAATTTTTTTTTTAACAGAATAGTCTCATTATTTTGAGAAAATCACATTATCTGTTATTTGTTGTTCAAATAAAAAAAAATTTAGTTAATTTAAACAAAATGTTAAATAATCGGGATTTTTCTGTTAAAAAAAAACTTTTCCCAAAAGTTTGGCACTTTTATGTAAATTTCCTTTTGAAATAATTTATGAGTAGATTATATTTTGAAGGTATGAGCAGGTCACCATTCAAATAAAAACAACAACGTTACTTTTTTTATTTACTAAAAAAAGTGTATAATAGAGATACATTGACTTTGTAAGTTCTGTGAATTTTTAGAAGTCATTTCATTTTAAGTGTTAAAATATATTCTTTAAAACAATTTCCAAAATGTATGAATATTATTACTGTATAACTGTATATACCCACGGCCCTGTTTTTTTGTCCATTATTTTTATTTGAAGAAAATGTGTTTGAAAAAATAATGTCTACACGAGTACATATTTTTTAACAGATAGATGTTTCTTGAACAATATTAGATGATATTTTACCATTAAGTTTGGAACAACAGCTAAATAAAAGTAAAATATTAGCATGATAAAATAAATTCCAAATGACAAACAATATAAGTTTATTGAAATATTTGATACAAGTGAAGATATTTCAAAACGATTTATAAAATAGTCAAATAAAAATATTTCATACTATTTACCAATACATTAATTCATGTTATTTAATAAAACCATTGATTTTGTTACATACCTTAAGACAACTATGACGATTTTACAAATCAGAAAGTTTGCACTTGATTACAAATTCGCAAATACATTTCTTAGTCAAGGTGTATTTCCCCCTTAATTACATTAGATTTAAAAGAAACAGCACATTAATCCAATAATTAACAATATTATACTAATAATCTCGATCTGATACAAAATATAATATATTTTTGTTTCCTGATTCTAACTATTAACCATCATATAAAAATGCATGTAAAGACAAAAATAGAAGGAAATTTTTACAGATTAAAATAAAAGTTACCGTATTTAAGAAAATAGTATGATTATAACTACAAAATAAAATTATATTTTTATACGTACATTAAAATGAGTAAAGCAAGAGTAATAAAAATATAAAATACAAGTGAAGATGAAGGAACCAATATGCATAACATGCAAAGTGTACGGTTGGGATTTAGTCGCTGCTTTAAGACAAAAAGAAGAACTAACGGTTCACAACAAGTCAGGGTTCAAACTTGTACTCTCTGCTTACATAATTGTGCCATTGATAATCCAACTTAATCTTGCATTTTTACAATTAGGAAATAAATATGGTGCATGTAGCTAGCATGTCCATAAAAATTAAAAATAAAAAAGAATTGCATAGAAATTAAAATAACACAAAATATATTTATAAAATTACCATAATACCCCCTTTGTTTTGTTTGGGGTTGCTACGCCTAGCTACAACGCCAGAGCACCAACTTCTTCGAGCTTCGGAACAAGATGACCGCTCAAGTGGAGTCCGACGAGGCTTTCTAATCCTCCAACACGCGTCCCTCCGATGAACACCGCCGGAGCTACGGTCTCACCACCACCTCCGCCATCCTGCTGTGAAGCGGAGAGTGCGTCGATCTCATCCTCCTCCAATTCGATGACTGTAGGGTATACACCGAGAGAAGAGAAGAGGCGTTTCATGACGTGGCACATGCAGCAGGCTGAGCGGCTGAATATGATGACTGGATTCTCTGTTATGAGGCGTTGGATCCTCATTTCGGTGGATTCGGATATATCGATCGCGAGAGGAGAAGAGGTGGTGGGGGTTAATTCGAGGCGGACTCCACCGTCGGATCGGCCGAGACGGTAGCCGTGGACGCCTTGCATCTCTCCGGTTAAGTTTGATAGGGAGAGAAAGAGAGAGAGAGAGGGAGGGGGAGAGGAAGGGCGGTGGTGCGTCAACGGGAGCAGCAAGTGGGTAGGTTGGCTTGGTGTGTGGTTGTGGTGAAGGAAAGGATTTATAAATGGAGGATTGTGGGGATGGGGGTGGTGAATTGATGAATGGTGATTCATTACATCATAAAAGTAAACATATTACGTATACTCTACGCTTTTCATACTTTGATCCGGGGTCGTGTGAAATCCACGCACTTACCACATTCCTTCTCGAAATATTTATTTAAATTTAAAATTCTTTTTAATTTATATATTTTCTAGTTTCTTTTCGTATTATTTAATCTATTTTATGATAATATGATGTCAAGATTTACCAAATACTTAAACATCAAAGGCTCCTTCTCAACTCTAAATTTGTGAAATCTGGTTATTCTTTTATCTTATATGTTATATAATCTATTTTCAATTGGATCAATATATTTTATTTTTATTGTATTTTCAAATAGTTTACATAATATATAAAATTGGTTAATAATAAAATATTTTTACAGATGCTTATTTTTAGTTGGTTTACCCGCTACGATTACTAAAAAAGGATACGATATGTTTAAATGAGATATTTTCAGAAAAATTGTTGAATTATTTTGAAAAGGCATCAGTGGGATGATGTCATTGAGTAGGAGAGCATAGTTAAGTTTGATTGTGAGTACTAAAGAGCGTGGAAAGCAGATAAAAGCAGGGCGCGTGGGGACCGTTAATGGTAAGACGGTAGGGTCAGAAATAGCGGAGTTTTGCCGGGTAAAAATTTGACGTTAAAACCGATCACATGGTAATGGTGGGCCCAACAGTAATGGTGTATGACGTCATCTTGACTTCTAACGTGGAAACGCCAGCAAAAGTAATACTATCGCTTACGTCACGCCCACAGCTGAAAGCGAAACCAACAGCACTCTCTCTCACTCTCTCTCTAGCTGACGTGTTCACAAGTATCCCTGATTCGTTCCCTTTCTTTTTAATTTCTCTAGAAAAAAAAATCTTTTTATTTTTACGTCGATAGTAATAATTTTCTTTTTACTAGCAATAATATTCTAGTTTAAAGAGGTTTATTAAAGTGATATTTTTGATAAATATGTTTTGTTTTTATTTATCTTTCTACTTATATAAGATTATAACATTTCGATATTATTAATTTTTTTTAATCTAAACTTTTAATTTTAATATTTGTCTCCAAAGATAAATAAGAAAAAAATAGGAAGATAATTGATTTATCAATTAAGAATAAAGATAAAAAAAATACGGTATTAATTTATTTTGTAGTAGTCGAAGATGGCGTCAGATGTTAATAGCGCCCCCACTGGCACGTGGCAATTCCTTTATCTCTCCCCCGGTCATGGAGATTTTGGACCGGTGGGTCTTGTAAAGCATAAAGTACACAATTTCATGATGCACCATCACTTGCCATAAAATTTCATTATTTCAAAACTATTTCTTTCCAACAAAAAATCCACTACAATATGTTATTTTTAATATATACTTTATGACAAAATTTTATAATTGGTTCCTATGGTATGAAAAATATCTCAGTTTGAGGGTTTTCAAGGAAAAAACATCATGCTACTGGTTCTGTGGTTTGCAAAATTACATGAAAGGTTCTCATACCGTTAAATCTAACTATTCAGCTGTTAGATTTTAATAAAAAATACTATTTTGCCCTTGTACCAAATTTGTAATATACTACAAACCTCAAGGACCATTTGTGTAATTTTGTAAATTTGAAATTATATATATATATATATATATATATATATATATATATATATATATATAATATCAACAATTTATGGTTTGTTTTTTATGTTTTTATTTATTTTGATTCAGGTAAATAAACTTAAATTCGATAAACCATATCGAAATCGTTATTTTAAAAAAATTTCTTACTTTGGAATTGAAGCGTTAATGTTTTTTTTTTTTTTTTTTAATTTTATGCTGTTACGGTTCATGTTTTTTTTACTTGAATGCTCCATAGTTAATATAGTTAACAACTTTATGTTTGCATTTATCATTATCATTACTTCACCTTTTTTAAAAAAAAAAAAATTATAATTTTAGTTATTTTTTATTATTTTATTGTTTTTATTTATTTTGATTCAAGTAATGAAAAATAGAAAAACAAAAAAAAAATAAAAACTCAAACATCAAAATTGTAATATACTCTAATATATTAATACGTTTTACACTTTTCATATTTTTTTGGTTTTTTTCGTATTTTTTTTAATTTTTCCGTATTATTTTATTAAACTTTTTGTATTATTTTGTAGTTTTTTCGTATTTTATGTTTTTTCGTTGTTTCGTTTTATTTTTCATCAATTTGATAAAAAAAATGACATTTTTCTAAAAGTGTAAAATGTATGAATATACCAGAGTATATTACAATTTTCGTGTTTGAGTTTTTCTGGTTTTCTATTTTTTTTTAATTTTTTTGGTTATTTATGGTTTTTGTAACTTTTTTTTATTTTGATTCGAGTAAATTAAAAGTTTTGTTTATTTTCTTTTTTTATATTTGTAAATATAACTATTTTATTTACTCAAATAAAAATAAAGAAAGTTACAAAAACCATAAATAACCAAAATTATAAAATAAAAAAACTTAAACACTAAAATTGTAATATACTCTAATATATTAATACATTTTACATATTTTGGAAAAGGTAAAAAAAGTTATTAAATTGATGAAATATAAAACGAAACAACGAAAAAATATAAATAGGAAAAAATTAAAAAATAATACGAATAAACTAAAAAATAATACGAAAAAAATTAAAAAAAATACGAAAAAAAAACAAATAAAGATGAAAAGTGTAAAATGTATTAATATATTAGAATATATTACAATTTTCTTGTTTGAGTTTTACTTGAATCAAAATAAATAAAAACAATAGAAGAATAATAAATACCTAAAATTATAAAAAAAATAAATAGAAAACAAAATGTGAAGTAATGATAATAATAAATGCAAACATAAAGTTGCTAACAATATTAAATATAGACCATCAAAGTAAAAAAAAAACATGAACCGTAAGAGCATAAAAAAACACTAACGTTTCAATTCACAAATAAGAAAAATTAAAGAAAAAACGATTTCGACATGGGTTATCAAATTTAAGTTTATTTAATTGAATAAAGATAAATAAAAACATTAAAAAAAACCATAAATAACTAAAATTATATAATAAAAATAGAAAACAAATTGTCAAAAAGATAAAAAAAAGTTATCAAGTTAATTGATATATATATATATATATATATATATATATATATATATATATATATATATATATATATATATA